GTGAGTTCTATTTGTCCTGAGAATGGGATGGATGTTGTATTGGAGGTCCTTCCTTCTGATGATCTTAGACTGGAAGTGGTTAGACCGGGCATTGTATGGGCACAGACTTGAAGTGGTTAGACCGGCCATTGTATGGGCACAGACTTGAAGTGGTTAGACCGGGCATTGTATGGGCACAGACTTGAAGTGGTTAGACCGGCCATTGTATGGGCACAGACTTGAAGTGGTTAGACCTGGCATTGTATGGGCACTGTACCTATACTGTGCTGGTGCCCAGCCATACTAATATATATATATATATGTGTGTGTGTGTGTGTATGTATATATATATATGTATACATTTGTTCTCAGATAACTCAAACTCGCTGGGGATTGACAAATAGCTACCTCTGAATTACAAAATTTATCTGCTCAGTGCCTAGTTTTGAGAAATTTGACGTAAAGAAATTTGAGTTTCACAAAATTATGAACATATTTTCATCACAGCTGTCAAACATCGGACACTCATCACATCCAAAAATAGAAAGAGAAACTCTGCGGTGTTGGATGACACTGAAAACAGGAGAAACACTTTTTTATTTATTAAGTAAAGGATTAGCTCCGCTTTTGCGAATGCAATTCTTTGAGCATTCTGATAATGACTCCGAATAAACTTACGATTTTGATACAGCAAATACAACAATTGGTTTTCGACCTCAGGGTCTTATCAGTTCAAAACTGCCAAAAAATGTCGGTCGGAAGAACTTTGTAATTCTAAAGTAGTGAAATGTGTTCCAGTCAGTGATTCAGGTCCAAGTGCCAGCGCTGTGTCCTGCCACGGGACTAAGTAAATCAACTTTTGAAATGTCCTACTGTGTGTCTAGAAGGACATTCCACTTCATTAACGTCAGTCCGAGGCACTCTTGGGTAGTAAATGCTTGAGATGTGGATGGTAATATTGTGGTCCTTACTTCAACCAAATCTTTTGTGGTATTATGCGGTCGTCTCGTATTTGTATTTCTCCAGATATCTTGCTCGTCTTATTATTGTAGGCCTACATATTATAATTCCGACCAACACTGAAATGGTAACAGATTTTTTGGGTATATTTTGTGTATCATGATTTGTGGTATTGTGTTTGACAGGCCAATTGTCATTGTCACTTCCGACTATGATGAGTGTGCATGAACTTGTGATGTTGGTAAAGGGTTTTGAGAGGGTAGTCTGTCCTACCCTAGCTCATTCTCTAATAAAAGTTATCTATTATTTATTGTTCTCTTTGGCTTTATTCATTTTAATTTGCTGTGTTTCAATGATAAGATTTAAAATGTAACAAATTTGAGATAAAATAACAATTTAAAAATGACAACTTACTTAAAATCAAAATAACTGTATTTGCAATTTACTGTAAAGGCAAATGGCCTTCATAAAATCGAGAATTCTGTTGGGATCAACGACGGAGAACAGATCTTGCAATTTTTTGCATTTAAAATACAACGTACTTTCTTCGGGGTTTCTGCAAAGTCAGGAGATTCTGTTAAAATGTGTCTAGTTGGTAAAATCTGTGTCGCATCCAACACAAAACTGTTTTTCATCTCCCTGAAGGAGGTATTTATGTGTTAGGGAGGTGTGTCCCATTCATAGTAGTAGTAGTAGTAGTAGTAGTAGAGTAAAAATGACTTCATCTCTTCTGGAAAGGCCCGGAGGTTTTCGTGGGCCCAGTTTGGGCATTTTGTGGAGTTTGATGTTGGTTTGTTTCTTCCACAGACTGGTTACAATCTTTGATCTGACTCTTTGCTCACCTCAAATTGTGTATTGACCTATACTTCTAAATACAAATCGTAGTTCTTGTCTGACAAAATCATACAAAAACAAATTTTCAAAAGTGTTTTATAAACATTTTGACAATCCTTGAAAGGGTTTGCACTTGTGAACGGTATCTTCTGTATAAAACATATAAAACAGCACTAGTGTAGTAGCACAAAAGAGTATTTATTATATTCCAACCCCCCACCCCCCCCCCCCCCCCCCCCCCCAAGACCAACAGCGAGAGGAAGTAAATAAGTAAATAAAAAATTGATTTTTTTTTCATAATTTCATGATATAATCGTAAATCAAACAAGGGACCTTTGACAAATGACGTCAGCAGCTCGGGGGGCATTTTTGGCCAAAGTTTAGCTGACGCCATTTGTGAACGGTCCCTAAATTGTGAAGAGAGAACAGCATATATATATATATATAGTATAGCATTCAAAGAGAATAAATTTCTGATTAGAGTAAACTTCCTTTTGTGCATGACAAAATCCCTCCTTTTACACACCATGCCCCACGAGAATGAGAGTGGAATTTTCTCAAAGTGTTCATCACAGAAAGAAACAAAAAAAAGCCCCATACCCTCAGCAAGTACATCAAGTTTTCAACACCATCTACTTTCAACTCACAAGTATAGTACCTATAAAATAACACATAATTTTCAGCCCAGCTGTCAAACGTCGGACACTCATCACAGCCAAAAATAGTGAGAGAAAAAAACTCTGTGGTGTTAGATAACAGTGAAGAACAAAAACGAGAGGAAGTAATTTTTTAAAAGTAAAGGATTAGCCCCCGCTTCCAGCACTGGGAGATTTCATGAGAGGCAGTACTGCCATTTAACATTTGTGAAGCGTGCTGACAAAATGAGTTACTTCTCGGATTCGAGCCCTATAAAAATAGATACATCATGCTTATAGATGAAGTTTTTACAATTTATAAGTATGAAATAATGAAAGGCATGTATAGTCAAAGTATATGGCATCAATGGAAAGTCTTCAAATTTGACCCTAGTGTCGATTTTTGGCAAATATCTTCATTTATGGATTGTGAGAAGTAACTCATTTTGGCAGCATGCCTCACATTTACCTCCAACAGTCAGTACGGGTTGAGCTAAGTCAGCAAGAGAGAGCTGTGAAAACTTAAGGTCAACCCCAGGTGAAAAATAAATGCCGTCATGGATCGAAACTAAAGCTATTCCATATTGTTGTAGTTCCGGAGGCTATGAACTTACCTGACTCAATGATATATATATGCATCAAAAAAGAACATTATACTGCTGTTTTAAGTGTAAAAGAAAAGTCATAAAGTGATAAACTGCACATTTCATTAGTTTTCAGTTCACCTCTTTTCTTTCTTTTTTAAAACATGAGCAACTCAATGCCCATCAACAATAAAATAAACACTACAGAAATAACATCCCAAAGACAGAAATGATATGCATTAAGAAATAATTTTCTCTTTTAGAAAACATCAATAAAAAAACAACCTGAATCAACATACAAAGGCACATAATATTCAACAATACATCATGCAAATGCAATGCAAAGTGGGAATTCAGCAACATCAATAACAATTTTACTATTTTCAGTAAACATTTTTTGATATATTATTTATGATTTATGTTTATGGAAACATCTCTTCCTTACGGTCAGGGGTAAATAAATACTAAATAAAATGGCTAAAAAATTGTCAAACAAAAGTCAGTTCCCTGGAATACCTTCATTTGTGCTGCCGCAACAGTCGAGAAATGCGTCTCCCCACAGAGCTCAAGGCTATCGGACGTCAGATGTGTCCCGAATGAGTTAAGCAGAGACCCAGGTCCTCACTTTAGAGTCAGTAAGTCAGTAAGTCAGTCAGAGTTTTGCGGCAACTGCAACACACTTGGGTCAAATAAGTGCTGAAGGTTAGAGTAGTGCTGGGCGGCTAGGTTCCCGATTATTTAAAAGCTAGGAATCGTAGGAATCGACTCCGAACCCAATTACTTACTTTCTAATAATGTGATTTTTTCCGGTGGTTACCTGGTTGGCTCCGAACATCGTCAGGATTTAGGATTACCTTGATTTCGGAACACTACGAAGCACCAACTTCTATTTTTCAAAAATAAATTCTTTTTAAAAAAGAACATTTTAATGATAAAAGTAACTGGCAACCATTGGTTTACGTAAAAAGGAGACGGAACTCTACTTCCATTGTATTAACCGTGGGAATTGGTTCCGGAATCGACCCTTCGCCCAGCTCTAGGTTAGAGGAGCTACTTGAGAGTAACAACACAGGAATAAAAGAGGGAACTGAGATAATGATGACAGATGTTCGATAGGAAAGAAGGTGTAAGACATACTACAGCGTCCACAACCAATAATGCCCCTTAGCTCACAATCGGGTGAAGTGGAGCAGTGAGGTACATACATCATCAAGGTGGCACTCTGATAGCTGTACCAAGGGCTCAGGCCAACAAGGAGCACAAAGGTAGTAATTCAACTCTTTCCTGCATAGTTCATTCTTCTGTTCACTTTCACTTTCAGCAGACATTTCTGAACACTCCCCACCAACATAAGAGTGGTTGTGCTAAAAGCTGGAGTGCAGCCCCCCGTTTACCCCCCCTCCCCACTTGTAATAATTCACACATATATCATCCTCATCCTCGTGTACTTGCAAACATATCACAACAAAAGTAGTTGGTTTTACTGATGATAGTCTTCTAGAAATGTGAGGCAGCGTGGTGGAATGAATCAGGCTCTCGTCAATTTTGGGGCACGTAGAGTTATTGGTATCATCGTAAAGCTTGTTCACTTGTGTTTATTTTGATGAAAAAAAATATCCATTTATATTGAATACAAGTCGAGATGTTTGCAAATGAAGGAGGTGGGGGTCACCTGTTTTCAGAGGTAAAATTAGTGAGAAAATGGCCGCCAAAGATTAGTTATTTCCTTAGCTTAAGAGTCCGTGGTAACTGAAAATTTGCATATTTTGTGCCTTTAATCAAGGTTTTTCAGAAAAATCCACACAGAAATGAGTTCTTTAGTGGGCATGAAAGGTGTTGAGCCAAAAAACAAAAATTTGATAAAAATTCACAAACCTGCGGAAAAATGCAAGTTTCTTCACTTTGATTATTTTGACGAGAGCCTGATTCCACCACGCTGCCTCACAAATAGAAAAGTCAGCAAAACTGAACACAACAGCCTTGGCTCGCAGTCAGCAGTCAGCAGTTCTCTCAGCTCATTCCCTGATCCAGTCCAGCACTTGAGGAGTGTAGTATGTGATGAGAATATCTACTCCTGAGGGAAGAAAAAAATATAAATAAAAAAAAAAAAAAAAAATGAAGTAAGGATTTTACAAGCCCCTTCTGAACATCTACCCTATACAGAAGAAGAGTCAATGGACTATGGTGGGACTTAATCAAATTAGTAGTGGTATTCTGAAAAAAGAGAAAGTGCTGACCTGTTACCAGTGATGTATCACTCCTGTAAAAATGTTCGGAGAAAAAAATACATTTTTTCACATTTTTAACCTTTAGTGAAGAACAAAATGTTGCAAAAAGAATTAGATATCTACAAAAAAAATATTTAGACTCAAAATATTATAAAAGCCTTTCAATGTTTTTAAGAAAGCCCTTTTTTTTTTTTTTGGTAAGTGTTTTACTGCGCTCGCGACTGCATAAGGTCATACGAGCGCGCGGGACACACCTAATATTTTCAGTTGGTAGGAAATTTGGAATTTTGCCCGGGTGGCGGCCAAAGCCTACTCTCATCGATTTTAGACCACTAGGGGATCTTTAACGTGCGCAACTTGTACACGGGCCCTCCGAGATTTTTCGCCCTTGTCCGAGAAGGCTAGGTGTAAATCTTTCCTACCAGAAGATCAGGGGTGTGGCAGAAAGACAGCAGTAAGGAGGTGCCAAGGAGTAGCAGTAGAAAGGCTGCAGAAAGAGTCAAGAGCCCAGAGGAGGGGGCAAAGGAGGTGAGGGGGTGGGGGCAGAAAGAGGAGACGAAAGCAGACGACAGAACAATGCTAGAGAGCAGGAAAGGAGGTGAAAGGAGACAATTTTAGAGGAGAAAATTTTTCGGACGCTACCTGGATTCGAACCCGGGACCTTTGAATGAGAGGCCAACACCTTAATCTCTAGGCCACGAGAGCCCCCAAGAAATACTGAAACGTGTTTTCTGAAGGAACTAAATTTTTTGACCTTGTAGAACGTTTTTGGCCTTTTCCCCCCATTCCTCAAAAACAGCTTCGCTGACGACTGGGACCTTTCTCCAGGCACACACAGGTATAATATGTACATGAGGTGCAAGGCGAAGTATTGTAGTAAGTAAACTATTTTATGTATAAACATTCAGTATTTTAAGTCAGTGGAAGCCAAATCTTTCCATGGGGATAAATAAATGAAAAAAAAAAAGGTTTCCTACGTTAAAATAATATGAGAGCGGAATGGGGGGTGGGGGTGTCTTTATACCAAAACTAAACCCCCACACAGCTGAGCTTGTTTACCCACGGCTGCAGTCTCATGTCTTACTGTTAATGGACTCATGGTCTAGGATTAGGGAAATTGTACTATATATATATATATATATATATATATATATATATATATATATATATATATATATATATATATATATACACCTTGGTGTTGATTTTATAACAACATCTTGAATTAGAGACATGGATTCAACTTCTGATTGAGGGAATTATTTTTAGGATCAAACGACTAAGATAAAATAGGGATAGGAGCATGGACAAAGTAAAGGCTATGGTGTGACAGCGGTGCTATCGGCTGACCATCTGAAAGACACATTTATCCGACATCGTTCTGATGTTGGGTGATCATCGGTTTCCGATAGTGTGTGGGAACCCGACATCGTCCTGATGGTGGGTTGTCATCGGTTACCAATGGTGTGTCGATATCCATCATCGTGCCGATGGTGGGTTGTCATCGGAAACCGATGGTAAGTCAGTATCCATCATCGCGCCGATGGTGGGTTGTCATCGGAAACCGATGGTAAGTCGATACCCATCATCGCGCCGATGGTGGGTTGTCATCGGAAACCGATGGTAAGTCGGTACCCATCATCGCGCCGATGGTGGGTTGTCATCGGAAACCGATGGTAAGTCGGTACCCATCATCGCGCCGATGGTGGGTTGTCATTGGAAAGGTTTTACAGCGCTCGCAACTGTATAAGGTCATATGAGCGCCAGAAGTGACCGTGTGTGGCTCTCAGAAAACCCTTCACAATGTGCAAAATTTCAAAATGAACTTTTTTTGCATATTTTAAAAGACACATCTTTTCCGAGCATTTTGCACTTTATTTGAAAGCAATTGGAGCATTCTGTGAAAAGTTATGGCATTTTAAAGCCAACAGGGGTTCGAGTGTCAAATTTTGAGAAAACAGGTTTTAAAGTTTTGCTTACTTTGGGAACACATTTTCCATGATGACAATGCATAGAAGCAAATAATGCTGATACCACAGCATAGAGGTGCCATTTGTGGACAGTTTGCTTTTTATTTTAGTGAAATACCTCTCTTCTATGTGAAGTTATGACTGTTTTTATGTTACAACAGTAAATCATTGAATTACGTAAAAACGCGTCAAAAAAATATTATGCTCCTCTCGTGTCATACCAGCAAAAGACAAACGCAGGTCGTCAAAAGCATATTTTGTCCAACGGCATACATCCAGCTTGACTCACCTGATCTCCGCATGCTCTGAAGCGCCTCCATCACCGCGGCCTTGAGGGGGAACGCCCCGGCCTGGGCTGCGTGGTACAGCATGGCGTACTCGCCCGACACGTGGTAGATGGCCAGGGGGTGGGTTGGGTACTGGGGACGACCAGGGGGCACTTACTTACACACTGGTTTTTTAAAGTTTTAGTACGAGTTTTACAGCGCTTGCAAAACAATAAGGTCATATAAGAGCCGAAGATAAGAGGTGTTACAAGAGAGTAGCAAACACAAAATAGAAGGAAGGGAGAAAAGGACGACAGATGTTTGATAGGAAAGAAAGAGCAAACCACACCAGAGCACCCGCCACTCACCCGCTTACACACTGGTTTACTGGTGTCTGTGGTGTAGTTGTTAGGCGCTTCGCAACCTCACACAGAAGACGTAAGTTTGATTCTGAAGCGGGGAGAATTTTTATCGAGTATCTCTGTCTTTGTGCTGGGATGCTGAATGCGTTCGTCTCATCTTGGGTTGGCCCAGATACATTGAGTCAATGTCAGCCTCCTAATTGACCTAAACTGTATTGATGGGGGCGTAAAACACCTACATTTGTTGTTGTTGTAGCCATCCAGTAGCATCTGAGCGTTAACTCTTCTGCATGATGCCATTCGGTAATAGCTGCATGTGTGTTCTAATTGTCGTCTTGAGGAGTAGAGGCAATTAGATGTGTGGGGTAGCTTGGGAAGAAAACAACCCCTTAAATCAGTTAGTTTTCTACAGAAGAACAGATGATGTTCCACTGTCTCTGAGGGGTAGTCACATAGTGGGCAGGCAGCAGACTGCTTTACTCCAATTCGGTTGAGATGTTGGTTGAGGGGTACATGTTGTAACACCTACATTGAACACACACAAAAAAAGAGAGATTCTGTTTTATGGCACTATCGACACTGCTTGGACCTTTTTACTCTTTATCTCCGAGGGGGGGGGGGTAAACCCACTATGCCAGGGCCTATTTTTGGCACTACATCTAAAAATGACAAAATCGTCACTAATTCGGTTATTAAATCAAAACAAGTGAATCTATTTCGATAGTTCTTCAGCTAACGAATGAAATCCCGATAAAAGAGACCTGTTTTCGGCAACTGCTGAACAGTAATTTGATGTCGAAGTCGTCGTAAAGGATGTGCCCGAGCCGCCGTCGGTGGCTCACCGGCACAGTAGTTCCGACCGCGAGCCGTGTGCCGGAGATAAAGAGAGTACAAATCCAGGTCAGAGTTAGAGAAAAGCCGTTGGATACAATAATGTGATAGATAAGATGTTTTCAAGTATGATGCAAAGAAGAAGGAGGAGGAGGAGGAGGAGGAGGAGGAGGGGAAGGAGGAGGAGGAAGAGATCTACTAATGTTCTGACCCAGCCCCGACCTGTTGAGCTGACAAGTTAATGGCATGCAGTACACTGCTTCTTACCTTCTGTTTAATGAGTCGACAAACGTCCAGGTAAGGCATGCCCGGCTTGACCATCAGGAAGTCAGCACCCTCAGCAACATCCCGATCCTGGGGAACGACAACAGTAGAAAATTTGCTGAGTTTTTGTTTGGTGTAAAGGTACTTTTTTTTTTTTTTTCGCGATTTACTGAAAAAAAGCGTAAGTACATCAATATATCATATATACATCGATACATACAGAAATGAATACATTAAAAAGAAACTAAAAAGAGCTGTTTTTCAGTTATTGTGTGGTGCATTCTGTACCCCTCCCCCCCTCAAACCACATAGGCACTATGATATACCAGGGTGGCCAGGGAAATTTTCCTCCTAAAAATCCTACCACACCAAAAAAATCCTACCACTGCAGTAGTTAAATTTTGCAAAAAAGCATAATTCAACAATCAATGAAGTTTCAATAAGTTACAAAACAAAACACAAGATCGTTATAATGGAAAAACAAAAAAAAAATGCAGGCAGGGAAATGGGAAGTGGTATTTTGTACAGGTGATTGTCTTATACCAGAGGAAGACCAAGGCGACGAGCGATGGAGTGAACCTGTGGCAGACACCCTTAGAGATCATGGGATGTCCCTCCTACAAGCCACACGACTTGCTGCAGACAGACGCCTGTGTCTCCCCGCGACACCCCAGGGTACAAGCGGAAGAAAAAAGTCAAAAGTCAAGATTGTCTTATACAGGTGACCATTAAAACAGGTCGGGCTGTATTTGTGTCCTTACCGCAGCCCTCTCTGCTAGACCAATGGCGCCCGGCGGCAGCTGATAGCACTTCCTGTCTCCGAAAGTTGGCGCACTCTTGGCTGCATCTCTGGAAGAGAAGTCAGTTTTAGTTGTAGTAAGGTTTTACGGCGCACGCAACTACATAAGGTCATATGAGCGCCAAGGGGTTGATGTCAACAGAGTAGTTCAAACGGGGAGTCAGGTTTACTCTGCTCACCTACCTCTCTAGCCTCAACAGCACAAAGTCTGCTTAGACTGTCAAGGCACCCCGGAAATAGCAGTTCACAAGAGAGAGACAAAGATACAAAAAAAGTAGAGGAAAAAAAGGACGATAGTATGGATGAGGAAAGAAAAAGCAGCAGTTTCCCCTATGGAAGACAAGTAAAACAAATGAAAGTTTAGCTTGAAGACACACACGATGGGTCAAGGGAGAAATTACATAAAAGACGAAACAGACAGAAGTGAAACGTAACATTTCAGAAAGTACAGAAGTAAATAGGGAAACAGTATAGAAAACATAAAGATGCAGGAGGCGTACAAAAATTAAAAACATTTATAAAGATGTGAGTGGAAAAACAGCATGAAAGTAAAGAAATCTGTGAAGAAACAGTAGAGAAAACAAGTTTTAAGAGGAGAAATAGCTTAGAAAGCATAAAGCATAAAAATATAAAGATCTAACTGAGGACATGGCATAGAATACAAAGACTTAAATGACGAGCTAACTTTATAGAAAACATTGGAATAAGGAGAGCAACGCTATGATTATAGGAGAAAACAATTTGGATATGGTGTGGATTGATATGTGAGGCATCGTGGTGAAATCATGAGCTTATCAAAGTAATGAAATTGAAGAAAACCACAATTTACTTCCCATTTGGCAATTTGATCAAATTTTTTATTTTTTTGGATTAACACCTTTCATGTCCATTTAAAAACACATTGCTGTGTGGCTTTTACAAAAAGTTGAATAAAGACACAACAAATGTAAATTCACAATTTCCAAGGACTCTCAAGGTTTGGTAGCCATTTCCTCTAATTTTACACCCCCCCACCTACAATCCTGAATATCTCCACTTCTATTAAAGACAAATGGATAATTTTTTCATCAAATGCAAGACAAATGAAAAAGCTTGAAGATGATACCAGCAACTCCATATGCCCCCCAAAAACTGACCAGCACTTGATTCCACCAGCTTGTGACACATGCTTAATGCCCCTGTAAGCTTTGTAATGGTAATAATAATAATAATAATAAATAGCATTTATACTGCGCATTTCCATTTCCTAAAAGATGCTCAATGCGCATTACAATGAAAAAGACATCACATCATAAAAATTAATCGACAAGTGTGTACGTAAAACAAAGTATTATACATAGATCTATAATATAAATGCATATGTGTAAAATTTTATACGAGAAAAACAGTCTCGCAGTGAGGTTGAAAATGTGTTCACTAAAAATATACAATGCAATAAAAATTCACGAGCGGTCAAAATAAAGTTGAAACGTGAGTAGCTCGAAACATTCGTTAAAACATTAATTCTATACAGAAAGAAAAACATTTCCGTTCTCTCTCTCTGTCTCTCCCTCTCTCTCTATCTCTCTCCCTTTTCTCTCTCTCATTCTCACTCGCTATTTCTTCAGTCTCACAGTCTGGTATACACATGCATATATATCACAGTACATCATTATGACAGGTATGCTTTTGTGAATAAAAAATGCTTCAGCTGATTTTTGAAAATGGAAATTGTTGGGGCAGATCTTATTTTATATGGGAGTTCGTTCCATACCTGGGGACCAAAGAACAAAAAGGAACACTCGCCGTATGTTTTGTAATTTTGTTCTGGGTACAGGGCGGTGTGGCGACATAACACGACCTGGAAACATTTCAGACGACGCAGGGATGGGGTTCAGCAAAAAGATGCACAGAAACAGAGCAGCCACAGCGACTCACCTGAACGGTCCATAGAAGCTGGAGGCAAACTTAGCACTGTAGCTCATCACAGAGACTCTGTTGCTGAACCCACTCAGGAACAGTGCCTTTTTGATGGCTCCGATACGGCCGTCCATCATGTCTGATGGCGCTATCACCTGACACCCTGGAGGAGAAAGCATAACAAATGCTGCCATCTCACCAAAACATTTCAATCAGGATGCCAGGAGGGGGAGAGGGGGAGGAGGAGGAGGAGGAGGAGGAGGAGGAGGAGGAGGAGGAGGAAGAGGAGGAGGAGGAGGAGGAGGAGGAGGAAGAGGAGGAGGAGGAGGAGGAGGAGAAGGAGGAGGAGGAGGAGGAGAAGGAGGAGGAGGAGAAGGAGGAGTAGGAGGAGAAGAAGAAGAAGAAGAAGAAGAAGAAGAAGAAGAAGAAGAAGAAGAAGAAGAAGAAGAAGAAGAAGAAGAAGAAGAAAGAAGAAGAAGAAGAAGAAGAAATAATAACACTCACCAGCCTTAGCGTAAGCAACAGCAATCTGTCCCAATCTCTCAATGCTCGGTTCATTGTCAATGGTCCCATCAGGACGCAAGTAACCTGGGGAATAGACACACAATTACAGTCTTTCACCCTGTTCTTTGTCATGTAAGTTTGTTTGAAAATCTTAGAAAACTTATGCCCCCGGCCATTGACTCAATTTAGATCATCTACCTAGGAGGTGGACTTTGATTCTGCCAATCAGAACCAACCAAGGTTGGAAGGGATGTATCCCAGCAGAAACAGAGGTACTTGATTAAAAATTCTCCCCACATTGGAATCGAACTCAGGTCTTCTGTGTGCAATGGCGAAGTGCCTAACCCCTACACCACAGACGGCGATGTACCTTTTATTCTTTTGAATGCCACATGCTTGTCAATGAGGAAAACCCCCCCCCCCCAAATGTGCACAACAAGGGTGGAGACAAAACATATTTTGATAGGTATCTTTAGAGGTCTGGTGGAGCCTGTAAAGAGGCAAAATAAAGTGGTCTGTTACGGGCTAAAAATGGTGACTATGAAGATGAGACTAATGATGATGTTGATAGCAGTGACAATGATGATGATGATGAAAGCTTGAAGACAAAAAAAAGGCAAAAATTTGGTGGATACCGTAGAATTTCAAAATTTATTACACTGAAAAAGTTCAAAATTCTCCCCAGAGGGCTTTGTCAGGAACATGGCAAATGATGATGATGATGATGATGATGAAAGAGCGAAGTTGGAGACTGTCATTTAAACAAAAACTATCTGGAAAGATAAAAACGGTGATTACAAAAAAGAGGAAAAGGCAAAGTAGAACAAACAATTCATTTCTTTGCTGAGATGCTCTAAAAAATCTGATATTATTATATCATCCACATCTTTCTGCATCACCCATCCATTTAGGTTCTCACTCAAAGTCAGTTGCTTTTGGTCTTCCTCTGCCACTTTTGTCTTCTATTCTTCCACGGCTAGCATGATGCAAAAATATAGTTCTCTTTTTCTCCCTCTGTCTCTCTCTGTCTATGCCTCTTTCACCCTGGTCTTTGGTATAGGCTGCCAAGAAAGACTCGAAACCTGTCTCTGCTCTAAGCGATCTTCTCCATCTCCAGCCAGCTACGTCCCATATACCCAAGATCTAAATACGTGTGTGTGCCTGGAAAAAGGTACCAGTTGTCAGAAATTTTGAATACTGAAAAAAGGGTATATATTCTTGTCACAAATTCAATGCTGATCAAACACGCTGATTAAATTTTTTTTTCAAATATCTTGAGAAGTTGAAAAAAAATATGCCAAATTTTTTAACACGTGTGTAAAAACCAAGTTTAGTTTTAGTTCTAGTACAGGTTTTACGGCGCTCGCAACTGCATAAGGTCATATGAGCGCCAGAAGATTAGACGTGTTACAAGAGAGTAACAAACATAAAAAAGAAAAAGGGGAGATAAGGATGATAGATGTTTGATAGGAAAGAAGGAGCAAACCACACCAGAGCACCCGCCAACCACCCACAAACCAAGTTTGGAGAAAAACGTCTGTAACCTTAGAGTAATGACTCAACTTCTAGCACATTTCTAACCTTTGGTGAATTACAACATATTGCAAAAAGAATTAATTAAAAAATATTTAGGCCTAAAATATAATAAAATCTTTTTAGTGTGTTATTAAGAAATGGTTAACTGTGTATTTTCTGAAGGTACTAATTTTTTTTTACTAGGTATACATTTTTTTGGCCTTTTCACCCTATCGACAACTATGACCGTTCTCCAGGCACACACACACAGGTATGTAGCTATACTTTACTTTTACTTTACTTTACTTTTCAGATCCAGCGGCCATTTGGGTTCTAGCCCTTCGGTCTGTCGATATGGCAAAGAATTTGCAGGTTTTAATCAGCTGTGCGTGTATAGCTATAAAACCATACAACCCAAGTCGTCTTATTTTTAAATCACTTTTCAACAATGACCCTACCACAGTGGCCGTGAGAGGCGTAGGGACAGAGGCAAACGTCACACGCCACAAGGAGATCTGGAAAAGCCTGGCGTAGTTTCTGCACTGCCACAATGACTGGGGTGTCTGCTGCGTCGGCGCCGGAGCCTCTCTCGTCCTGGGAGAGAAAATTGTTTTGTTTTCTTGTTTGAGTAATGACAAACACATCCACTCAAAAACAGTCGTGGGGGCTCTCGTGGCCTAGAGGTTAAGGTGTTGGCCTCTCATTCAAAGGTCCCGGGTTCGAATCCAGATAACGACCAAAAAATTTTCTTCTCTAAAATTGTCTCCTTTCACCTCCTTTCCTGCTCTCTAGCAATGTTGTGTTGTCTGTTTTCGTTTACACTTTCTGCCCCCACCCCCTCACCACACTTTACAAAAATTACAAAAAACAGTCATTTAGTGAAGGGGGGAAAGTAAGACGGAGGACAGAAAAAAGAGTTTGAAAGAAAAGAAGGACCAACCATAGGCACCCTTTAACCACTCTACACAGGAATAAAAAATAGTGAAAAAAAAAATACAATGCATGCACAGATATTGTGATTACTTTACTTTACTTTTACTTTTATCCGCAGCTTATACCCCTTTGGGTGTCGTGGGAAGAAAAGACGTCTCTCTACCACCAGCCGGAGAGCTTGGGTCAGGGGCAAGCCAAGAGTTGTTAATGTATCCCTGACTCCATCTATCCAGGTCTTTCTCGGTCCTCCTCTAGCCTTGTTGCCATTTAATTTTTTTTACGTAGGCACGTTGTGCAGGATGGTGTGTTGGTAATCACATGAGATGTCCGAACCATTTGATTCTTTGGTGTTGGACGTGATGCATGACATCATTTGTGCCCATCATTATTTATTGCTACAGAAACTAACTAATGGTGGACAATGGGATTAAAAAAACAAACAAAAAAACAAAAACAAACAAACTTGAAACTGGAAATTGATAAAAAACAGCCCAATCACACGTACTTTCTCGAGTTTTTCTGGAACTCCAAAGAGCAGCACAGACTTAAGCCCCTTGTTGACCAGCGGTTCGAGAGCCTCCACCAGTTTGTTGACGCCAAAACGACTCTGACCCGGCATGCTGGTGATGGGCTGGACGGCATCGGGGTCATCTCTGGTGAGAAAACAAACAGACGGGTCATGACGTGGTGGAGTCAGGCGCTCGGCAATTTTGGGGCATATGAAGTTATTGGTATCATCTTAAAGCCTGTCCATTTTGGTGAAAAAATATTCTTTTATCTTGAATACAAGTCAAGATATTAGCAATTGAAAGAGGTGGAGGTCGCCTGGTTTGACAGGTAAACTTAACGAGAAAATTCCCAAGCACACAAGGTCGGGCCAGCGGCTCCAACCCCCGAACCCGCAACCTCACGAATACGAGTCCGGCAGCCTAACAACTAGACTATCGTTTAATTTTGTCTTCTATTTCAAAAGCAGGAGTTTTTAAATGCCCCCCATCAACACAATTTAGAATACTAAGGAGGCGGGTTTCTGACCTTGCCTGTCACTCAGGGCCAACCCTGATCTGAGAGGGATACATAGTAAAGTAACATCCCTGCAGAAAGGTCGAGAGTCGAGATATTCCATAGACATTTTCTCACCACTCAGAAATTGATCTTGGGTCAGCTACATAGGACAGCGAATCTCCAAACCGCTATGCTATGCTCTGACCCTGTCTGTCAGGACAATCAGGAGAGAGAGAGAGAGAGAGAGAGAGAGAGAGAGAGAGAGAGAGAGAGAGAGAGAGGTGAGATTTTTAAGAATTGAAATCCTACAAGGTTCGGCACTTCAACCAAAAAACTGACAAAAAAGAAAAAGTAATAGGATCAGTAAGGTCCGAGCCCACAATAACCTGATTACGCGCGTCGTTCACACAAGGTTGCTTCAAAATGTATGGAAGTTGGTTCGGGTCTTAAAATATTAAACGACTCTTTTAGAATGTGTCTTTTCACACTGGGTAATGTTTTTTTGTTTGTTTTGGGTTGTTTTTTTTTAGTTGCAGCATCAAATTATGGACCTCTGTCGAAACTGTTAGATCATTTACGAGTCCAGCTACTTCAGACTCTTTTTTTCAGTGCGAACATGAGTTATGCGAGTTAATAATTCCAGAAAGAGAGAGAGCGAGAGAGAGAGAGAGATAGAAGAGACAGAGAGAGAGAGAGGGGGGGGGGGGGGGAGGGGGAGAGAGAGAATGAGAGAAAGAGAGAGAGAGACAGAGAGAGACAGAGAGAGACGGAGAGAG